AAGAACGTGTGGTTACGAGGTGAAATCACTGGCAGGTAACAGTATAAGTTAAATATTATTCACAGATCCAGTTCCTTTTCTGCGTATCAAACATTTTAATACATGCAATACATGAATGTTCAAATCAAATACAATACAAATTTAAAAATATCTTTGATTGATGGTATTTTATTAAGATACCTGCATTAATGCCACTATTTGTTTTACTTCTGATTATATTTGATGTATAATAAAGAGGTTTATTATTACACTTATTACTTGGAAGCGATACTTAAGTAACATGACATATATAAAACGTTAATTATGGCACGTTAAAAATTACCTATTTTTGTCATGTGACCTTGCCTTATACGACGTAGTGGTACATCGGGACACTATGGAAAACAAAATAGGTAAATCTATCCAAAAAAAGTAAAAAGTTATTAAAAAAGGGTACCAGCGAAATATAAGTTAATATTTAGTTACTTGTAGTGCTGACAAAATTGGGGATAAAATTTTGAAGCCAGTCCTTTGTCAAGTTTATCCGGCAAAAATTTTGTAAACATAATGAACTACGCAAAATAAGGTATCAAAGTTTCAAAGGTATCAAAGTTAACAACGAATATGAATGAGTCATTCAAGAAATTAAATATGTTACTTCATTCCCCTTCCCCTCCCTGAGTCCTCTCCTGAAGAAGAAAAAAGGGTTTAGTGGTCATATTAGCAAAATTGAAATCATGTCTCTCACACAAAATAAAATATGGTCTGCAAAATCTGCTGGAAAAGAAATGTAACAGAATTTATCTCTCACGAATATAAAATCATCATCATCAGCAGTCTAAAGTGGTAATAAATCAATAGTTTATTATAGAAAATGCGGTTAACATGCTGTTAAACAACCGCAAACTACACATAACAAAGTATATAATTAACTTTGTAACAATCAATAATGTATATACCTAATAGTATTATGGTAGTTCTTAATATATGCTGTTTTACAATTACGAGGAAGTCTTAATAAAACTATACCATGAAATATGGACGTCTCCCATTAATGCCTTTTAAACACACTAGACATTTTAGTCGTGTACTATATTTTGCAATAATTTTTAGTACTTCGAACAAAAAACTTCTGTAAAACCATTCTAATTCAGTCTTATGCCTTTTTCAGATCTAAACATAGTTTTATAGAAATATGCCGAGCGAATATCTACACTTTCTTTGCTTATGTTTTCTTTTTCATTAATTTTTTTTTCTTAATGCACTTTGCAAACCACTTGTGGTTCTCTCTATTTCTTATCGATTTGTACCTGTAAAAAATTGCTTTAACTCATAATACCGCCAATAGTACATATTCATTTAAGAAAAAATATTGTTGGTGTACAGTAAACTTTATTTCTATTCCATTTAATGCCACTTTAAAAGTAAAATTAAAAAAAAACATTCAGACGGCGACGTGTAGTTGACCGAGAATTAAAACTTTTGCTGCACAAATATTTAGGCAACGCCTTATCTCTTTAATATATCGTCAGACAGTTTACAGACACGACATTGAGAAAAACATACTATTTGAACATGTATTAAGCTACTGGAATTGTTTGTAAACCATGCCATAAATTTAACAATAGTAGATACTAGGGATAGAATAAAACCTAATAACCTGTGGTAAATCAAATTATTTTTAAATCAAAATCTTCACTTCTCTGACTAAATTACAAATCACTGCGACTTGATTTTTATTATTACGCTTGCGGTAGACTCGCGAAAGGTCTGAATCTAAAAAAACAAAAACAAGGAGCGTAATCTTGGATAAAAATAATTTTATTTCCTTTTTAGTGACCAAATCACAGTAACAGGTGAAATCACTGTTACTAAACTCAATCACTTCATCATTTGAATATGATTTAAAAGTAGCAATAATTACTTTGTCTAGTAGATACCGCAAGGACGTCAACGCCCTCGTCACTATTGAGTTGCAGGCGTTCATGACCGGCCGGTAGTTACTTACCATCGGGAAACCCATCTGTTCGTTTGCCGCATCAAACCAAAAAAAACTAACATAAACATATATTAGTGTAGTGTGACCACGGATTAAGAATACGGAATGTCACCACACCTATTCATCCCATAAGTGTCGGAAGTGCCGACTAAAGGAGGAAACTAGGCTAACAGTACTGAAAAGAGAAGGAAAATTTGAAAGAAACCCTACACCAACCCGTTTGGTAAGCGTGGTATAGTAGGACAAAACCTCCTTTCTAAGGAGATCTATGAGATCTTTAATAGTTCACTGCTGGACATGGGGCTCTCTCCTGGGGCACACAGTCCGGACGGGTTGAGATAGGGCTTGTGTCAAATTTTACTTCTCTTTGCAGTACTGTTGTCCTGAGTAATTTGCTCCCTTAGTCGGTTCTTAGTACATTTTGATGAATAGTGGTGACACTCCGTATTCTTAATCCGTCACCACACGGATTAGTGCGACTAAACCACACAACATACAGTATGACTACTTTATTACAATCATTGGTGATGATGTCATAAAATAATAACAATAGCTCTGTTGGAAAAAAATCCTAATTGTACTTAATAACGAATAACAATGCAAATGAAAGATAAATGTCCAGTGAAATGTCATTACGACAACTATAATTTATAACTAGTAAAACATGTATAATTTCCAAAAAGCCATAATTTCATCTGTTCTTAGCAATAATATTAATAACCTAACATATCTCACACACGGCTGTCTGATCCCAAACTAGACAGAGCCTGTACTATAGTAAACAGACTGCTACTACTGTTCTTAACACGATTATTTGCCGTGGGTGGGAATCGAACCCACGATATTTAGCTTAGCAGTCAAGATTATGAAGCACTGGACCAATAGGCTCGTCAATATTAGTTACAATACAAGTAATTGTTTTGGAGACAAACATTAAACTAATTACATCGTGAAACAAAATTCATAAAATGATTCCATCTAAATACTTTAGTATATGTATTTGTCTACGGTGTCCATCCGGACCCAACTATAGCATACTAATAAGTTTCGGTATGCAATGATGTGACATGAATCTTAATCAATTGCTGAACTAATCATATGGGTACATCTCTCTAGATCAGTGCGTAGTGATTAGTTTTAGACTAGCCGCCTAACTTGACGAGGGGGTCTTACGTAAAGAGTAACGAAACAAGAACAGAATCAAAGTGAACATTGTATTTATTGAGACGTCTAAACTTTTTTTTATTATTATTATTGTTTAAGTTTAAAAATAACAAATAAGTATTATGTTAACGAGTTTCTGGAAAATACTTATTAAAATAAATACCTACCTAAATATTTAAAAAATAACTGGTTCATAAATGACGGAATTCCAAAGTAAAAATATACAACAGACGTGACATGACAACCTCCCCTTTTTTCGAAGCTTCTTAAAATAATATATAATATTATTATTCACGAGTTTTATATACTTTGTCTTACACTTATGTTGTTTTAAAGTCATCTAAACACACCAATATTTTGTTACGTACCACCTATGTAATGAGCGACCCAAATGTTTTTAGCAATGATTTATATATTTGTATATATATAGAGATACAGTTCCGGGAATGTACTTTTTAAAATAATAAATTTAGTTTAATATTCTCTTGTATAATAAAAAATAAAGTAGCTAATGGTGATAAATACTAAAACTACAAGGGTTGTTAATAAACATTGGTACATATTAAAAACAATGTTCATTAATGTTTTGAAATGATAGCAATGATAAATATTTGAAATTCTAACTTCCATGCAATAATGATAAATTGCTGCCAAAGCTATGATCTTCATCATCCACTGGCACAGCAACTGGCACTGCATGTTACAATCGCCCTGCTTCAATAGAAAGTTTTAAATTTAAAAAATGGTTGGACGCCTTGATATTCACATTCATTTCATTGATCCTATGGCTTTCTGAACACTTAAGGTATTTCAGATATGTGTCATTAAAGAACTTAAACCGTTCTTTAAGGGAACGGGGAGAGTATTTTACTTCTATGTTTGTCACATAAAGTGATAATCACTCTGATATTAATACTATCCAAGTACCTCATTGCAGATATGATGATATGCTTAAATCAATAACAATTAGGCTTCCTTAATTTTAATTTATTTTTAAAGAAAATTTGATCAAGAATTTGAATATTTCGAAAATTGAAATCTTGTTCGTTAACAATTATATTAAATAAGGAAAGTATCATATGAAAGAAATTCAAATCAAAGTTGTTTACAATTCCAATCGTTAGTTCACGTTGTATCTTTAAGGTAGTTGTGATGATAATCCTAGAGTTGCGCTTGCGTTGGTAGATAACGCTACTCGAACAGCTGGAGGTAGCATTGTATTCAAATTTTCATATTTGTGATCTTGAATATATGTACATGCCCTTGTACAAACAAGAACGCTTAAATTTTTATGACATTTTTATCGACATGCTTGACTAACTATTATGGATGTGCGTCGCCCAATTCATTACTATTGATTAAGATTGCAAGTGAATGTTTCTATGGCTACTGTAAATACGCGTGGTATTAGTTATGTTTGAATTAAAACAGATGTTATACATACTTACATATTCATTCCTTTATCCTCGAAAGGCGTGTTAAAAATTTGCCAAATATATTTTAAACCTACTTACGTTAGAGCCTATTGCTAAAATCAGGAATTTTTGCGATTAGATGCAATAATTGGGAGTAGAATTTAAGAAAAACTATATTTTCTTAATGTTATTTATACGAAAGTATGCGTGCGAACCTTCTTATCTACCTAAGAAGGATCGCATTTTTTTCTTCGTAGCAATGTTATGCTGATTTCGTTTTAAAGACCATCATCTTAAATTTAGAAATGTTATTTTATTGTCTTTTAATAGTCGAATAATTTATTTATCAATTATCCAATAAGCTCTTAAGATTGAGACAGACTGTCGGTCATCTTGCCCGTTTCCTCACTGTATTACCTACATGTTATACTAGAAATAAAAGCATGCTGCCTCGTAAAAAAGTGAGTTCAAAATAAAAATAAATATAAATATATAAATAATAGACTGTCAAGCATACCGTTCTACTCGTATATCCTGTGGTTCATATAGCACATGCTTGCGGCGAGTCACGTGTCATAGTAATTGTTATGTCCTAGAGACCTCTCATTTATCTGTACATATAAAATTACTTGACCTGACTGACTAATGATTTATCATCATCTGTTGATGATGCCTTTACTAGTCCACTGCTGGACATGGGCCTCTCCTCAGAAAGGAGGTTTAGGCCTACTATACCACGCTGGCCAGACGGGTTGGTATAGTCGGTCCGAGTCCGACACACCACCCCGCCGCAAACCCCGGAGGGGTGACGGTCCGAGGGGATTTCCACACGTTAAAAAAAAAAAAAAAAAAAAAGGGTTTGTTTCAAGTTGTCCTTCTCTTCGCAGTGTTGTTGTTCTGCGTAGTTTACTCCCTTAGTCGGCTCTTACGACACCCTCGGGATGAATAGGGGTGGTGACACTCTGTATTTTTAATCCGTAACAATCTTTATCAACTCAGAGTTTAAACAGCTGGAGCCACAATCTTTAAATTTTGGCAGCTGATAATCATGTTATAAGCACCCACTAAGAAAGGATTTTAGACAATTTCACCCCCAAGAGGGTAAAATAGGGATGCACTGTTGCATGGAAGTTCGTCATTTTCAAAGTTAGAAACACGGAAAGTCACGCTTATATATCCAAAGAGGTGGATATTAGATTACGAAAAAAAGGTGTTAAAAAAAGAAAGTAAGTAATGGGAAAGACATACCCAGGACCATTTGTACCGAAGTATGACTCTCCCAAGTTAGAACTAACAAAAACCTACTTCTCTATTTGCCACAGCTACATCAAAATTAAAAAAATTAATACACCTCGATTCTCATGTTTTGCTTTTGCATAACATGTGTTATCGGTCGCATGCTGTAAAACGGATTGTTACTGCAGTATGTTGAAACAGTTGATTTCTGATTTTATAGTAACATGTATCACGCCGATACACACTGATTTTTCTCGGTTTATTTTCTGTAATATCTACACCTTTTGCGACATTTTGTTCTGCTCGAAATGACTTAACGGGAAAAAATACAATAGAATAAGAAACGTCATATAATTTACCAGTCTCGTTATCATATGGAAATACGTAGGAAACATGGCAGATTGAATGCAAAATTTACAGGACGCAACTCTTAAGGGTATTAACTGATTCTTTGCATACAACAAACGCTCATTCAAAACTGCCGTTCAATTGCTTTAATTTACTCAGAAATTGCGTA